CAGGATGGCCTCGATCTCTTGACCTCGTGATCCACCCGCCTCGGCCTCCCAAAGTGCTGGGATTACAGGCTTGAGCCACCACGCCTGGCAGATCCTTTTCATTTCTAAGGCATCTTTTGTAAGGTCTCCTCTCTAATCTGTGATTTTTTTTTTTTTTTTTTTTTTTTAGACCGAGTCTCACTTGGTTGCCCAATTTGGAGTGCAGTGGTGCCATCTTGGCTCACTGCAACCTCCACCTCCCAGGTTCAGGCAATTCTCCTGCCTCACCATCCTGAGTAGCTGGGACTACAGGGTTGAGCTACTACACCTGGCTAATTTTTTTTTTATTTTTAGTAGAGGTGGTTCGCTGTGTTAGGCAGGATTGTCTTGATCTCCTGACCTCATTACCGCCCACCCCCACCTCCCAAAGTGCTGGGATTACAGGCATGAGCCACAGCGCCTGGCCTGCGGTTTCATTTATTTGAATCTTCTGTCTGCCTTAGTTGGTGTAGCTAAGGATTTTTCACTTTTGTTTATTTTTGAAAAAAACAAAACAAAACAAACAAACAAACCACTTCTTTGTTTTATTGATATTTTTTCTATACTTTTTCTATTCTCATTTGATATATTTCTGCACTGATTCTGTGCTGGCCTAGGGCCAGAACCTGAGCAACGTCATTTTTTTTTTTTTTTTTTTTTTTTTTTTGAGACGGAGTTTCGCTCTTGTTACCCAGGCTGGAGTGCAATGGCGCGATCTCGGCTCACCGCAACCTCTGCCTCCTGGGTTCAGGCAATTCTCCTGCCTCAGCCTCCTGAGTAGCTGGGATTACAGGCACGCACCACCATGCCCAGCTAATTTTTTGTATTTTTAGTAGAGACGGGGTTTCACCATGTTGACCAGGATGGTCTCGATCTCTTCACCTCGTGATCCACCCGCCTCAGCCTCCCAAAGTGCTGGGATTACAGGCTTGAGCCACCGCGCCCGGCCTGCAACGCCATTTTTGTAAGACAAAGCTGTGTTTCCAAAAAGTAAGTTGTAACGACTGCCCCATTCTCCTTGCAATAACTGCTGACTTTGGCTTCTGTAAATAAAGGTGCTAGCTTGCTCTGGAAATGCCCGCTATGTAAAACTGCTTGCCTTCTCTTATCAGTAACAGCCAGAATTGCTGGCCTTTGTCAGAATAAGCTTTTGTAAAGTTACTTGCCCTGCATCCCCCTACCCTCTTGTTCCTGAAACCAGGATGTGGTTTTTCAGCTTAAAAGCCCAGCTCCCCCTGAGCTGGGGGCCATGGGTTGGAGAGACGTGAGTCCTCCGTGGTCGCTGGCAATAAAGACCCTGCAATTTGGCATACTTTTGTCTTGGTGTTAATATTTTAATCTTGCATTTCAATACTTCATCCTTACGGTTTCCTTCCTTCTGCCACGTTTGGGCTTAGTTTGTTCTTTTTCTAGTTCCTTTTGGTGTAATGTTGAGGCATTTATTTGTGATTTTTGTTCTTTTAGATACACATGTTTATTGCCATAAACTTTGCTTTTACAGCTGCTTCTGCTGTGTCTCATAAGTTTTGGTATGCTTTGTTTCCATTTTTATCTCTATACATTTATAAATTTTCCTTATAAGTTCTTATTTTTTTTCAGCACACTGGCTATTCAGATGCATGGTTTTTGATTTCTTACATTTGAGAATATTCCAGGTCTTTTTTTCCTGTTATGAATTTCTACTTTTATACCATTATAGTCAGAAAAGATTTGGATATATTTTTAATCTTAAATTTGTTAATCTTGTTTTGTGATCTAACATATGATCTATCCTGGAGAATGTTTCATGTGGGCTTGAGGAGAATATGTATCCTGTGCATGTTTGACATATATCTCTTAGGTCCATTTGATTGAAAGTATAGGTGAACAAAAAAGTATAGGTGAAGTCCAACATTTTCTTATTAATTTTCTCCTGGATCATCTTCCTATTGCTGAAAGTGTGATATTGAAATCTCCTTCAATTATTGTATTGCTGTCTATCTCTCCCTTCATATCTGTTAATATTTGCTTTATATGTTTAGGTGCTCTGACTTGGAGTGGTGCTTATGTATTTATAATTGTTGTATTTTCTTTTTATACAGTTTTGAATATAAAGGCTATTTTATCTGGTAAACAGCTACTCCTCTATTTTGATTTCCATTTGTATGGGATATCTATTTTCATCATTTTATTTTCAGTCTATGTGTTTCTTTACAAGTGAAATGAGTCTCTTTTAGGCAGTGTGCAGTTGGGTCTGTTTTAACTTTATGTAGCTGCTCTGTATATTTTATTAATTTCAGACCATTTACATTTAAAGTCATTATTGGTAAAGATTTACTGTAGATATTTTATTTATTGTTGTCTGGATATTTTGTAGATTATTCCTTTCTTTCCTTCTTGCAGTCTTTCTTTGTAATTATGTAATTTTCTGTAGTAGGATGCTTTGATTATTTTTTTTTCTCTATTTTGTATCTACTATAGATATTTGCCTTGGGGTTACCATGAGGCTTATGTGAAACATCTCATAGTTATATCCAACTTTACTTGACACACATAGAAGAGGTGGAAATTTCTAAATGAAGCTTACAACTGGGAGTTCAGGTGTTTACGTTTTAGGAATCTTCAAAATTTATGAGACCTCTAGAGCTGTAGCTGCCACTGTAATGAGCTGCAAGGATTCATTTCCTGCCAAAGGGTAGCTAAATCATCTCTCTTACAGAACCCAACAGTGACTCAGACATTCAATCATTTCTCTGGTCATTCATTTACAAAAGATTCATTAAACTACTCGGTGTGAGACACTGCTCCATGGCTTAGTGATATCAGTGTAAACAAAGTGCATTTGCTCCAATGCTAGCAGTTGTATGGTGGTATAAAAGCTAAAGATGATATTGGAAGTTTTTCAGAATTAAAACTGTGTGACCTTGGGCAAATCCAAACCTCTCTGATATTAGTATCTTCAACTATAAATTGGGTTAATATCTGTTCCAAATAAATTATCTTTAGATGATCAGATATGCTAATGCATGCTAATGTATGTGGGAGTACTTTTTAATGAGCATTTTTTAAAATTTGCTTTTTTTTTTTTTTTTTTGAACATAGACAACTGGTTAAATAGCACTTCTTCTCAAGTGTCCAACTTGCTAAAGAAACATGATGAATGTCAAAGGGTTGAGCATGTCTTATGCGTTTTAGAACTAGATTCATCACTAGAGCTGTTGCCAAAAGAAAGCACATTAACAATAATGAATTTAAGATCTGTCAAAACACAAGTGACAGAAATTCATCTTCACATTTTAAATGCTCTTATTAGGAACTTTTATTTTTCCCAAATGAAACATGGTTTTACATCTTTATAGCTGTTCCAACTTTTAAAATTATCCAGCATGTTCCTGAATTTAACAGATTTTAATTTCTAAGTTACTCTCTACCTTTCCATGCATTGCAACCTGGAAGCAAATATGAAATCCATGAATACACAGTAATATTTTCAGCCATTTATTTGTTTACTGACTAACTTGTTCTCTCATTGGTAACATATTAAAGTAATATATTTAAAAATACTTGTACAGCTTGGTAAATGAATGAGTATGAGTATATCTGACCCCAGGGATATTCTTACAAATGTCCAGTAGGCTAGGAAGAAATACACTAAGAGAAAAGTATGCTGGTATAATGTATCTGGTTATGATTTATTACAAACTTCTTGTGTGGATTAATTATAGTGTGAACAAATTTTAAAATGTCACATAAGTAATGTGTCATGATGAACCTGTCTAATTAAAATGTGGTTTACCAGTTTCTTTTCTCAGATTATAAATTATTGACGTTGTGATTGTATTAGTGCAGCATTGTTAATTTCTCTCATGTTTAATGCCTACCCAGAGGAATAGATTTGCTTATAATATTAATGAGCCAAAAGATGGATGGTGAGAGTTCATTGCCATGGTTGATCTGATTTGTAAAAGGCTAATACAGTTATATGAATTCAATGTTATGTTTATTTCTCTATTCTGTATCATCATCTAGTAGCTAAACAGATTGGAAGTCCCTTTTGGTGTCAGTGCTCACATAGAATAGCAAAGCTGAAAATCAGTCGTGCAGAGAGATTAAAATGTAGTGGTTAGGAACATGACAGTGGGGGGAAATATGTAAACAGAAAGAGTATGAAAGAGTGGAAACAGAGTTAGTCACATGAAAGTAGTTCTGGAGGAAAAATTCAGGAAATTACGGCATTTGCAGGTCCTGCCACTTCCCAGGGTTAGTCGATCTCATAGTTATCATATCCATGCCTAACTGACTGGTTTATATTGTATGTGTGTTTTTAATTTATAAGAATTAAAGTAAGGCCGGGCACGGTGGCTCAAGCCTGTAATCCCAGCACTTTGGGAGGCTGAGGCGGGTGGATCACGAGGTCAAGAGATCGAGACCATCCTGGTCAACATGGTGAAACCCCGTCTCTACTAAAAATACAAAAAATTAGCTGGGCATGGTGGCGCGTGCCTGTAATCCCAGCTACTCAGGAGGCTGAGGCAGGAGAATTGCCTGAACCCAGGAGGCGGAGGTTGCGGTGAGCCAAGATCGCGCCATTGCACTCCAGCCTGGGTAACATGAGTGAAACGCCGCCTCAAAAAAAAAAAAAAAAAAAAAAGGAATTAAGTATAAATGGCCAACAGGTCTATGAAAAATATTCTCAGCATCACTAATAATCAGGGTTGTCATCTTCCCCAGTTAGGAGAGCTATTATTAAAAATACCCTAAATGCTTGCAAGGATGCTGAGAAAAGGGAACTCTTACATACTGTTGATGGGGGTGTAATTTAGTACAGCTATGAAGGTAAACAGTATAGAGATTTCTCAAACAACTAAAAATGGAACTACCATATGATCCAGAAATCCCACTCCTGGGTATTTCTCCAAAGAAAAGGGAATCAGTATATCAAAGGGAGACCTGCAACCCCATGTTTATTGCAGCACTGTTCACAATAGCTAGAATATCAGGTCAACTTGCATGTCCATCAACAGATGAATGATAAAGAAAATGTGGTATATATGCACAAGGGAATTCCATTCAGCCATAAGAGAGAATAAAAATCTTTTCATTTGCAGCAACATGGATGAAACTGGAGGCCATTAAAGTAAGAGAAATAAGGCAGACCCTGACAAGTAACACATGTTCTCACTCATATTTTGGAGCCAAAAAATGCTGACCTCATGAAGGTAGAATGATGGCTACTAGAACCTGGGATGGGTTTATGTGTGTTGGAGGGGATAAAGAGAGGTTGGTCATTGGTTGCAAACATTAGTTAGAAGAAATAAATACCTGTGTTCGATAGCACAGTAGGGTGACTATAATTAACAATATGTATTTCAAAATAACTAGAAGATTTGAAATGTTCCCGACACAAATAAATGATAAATATTTGAGGTGATGAATATCCTAAATACCTGATCAATAACCTGATTTGATCATTATACATTCCATGAATGGATCAAGGTATCACACGTATGCAATAAAAATATACAAATATTATTGGTAAATAAATTACAAAGAATTATGTATAATAACCAACAAAAATAAAAGATCAAGGAAAAGTAATCCTTTAAATCATGCAGGGGAATCTTCCAGTGAGTTCCTTCAATGAATAGGAACGGACTTTCCCTCATGCCTTTTAAAGTGTCACCATCTTGCTAAGCTAAGTGGAACTTTTGTATTTAAACACAGCACTGATTTGAATAATGTATTATCTTAAATGAAAACCAAACATTTCATAGTGATTGATTCAAATACTGGAAAAAAAAAAAAAAACAGCAATGAGGCATTTTTGAGATACATTTTCTTTTTTCTTATCTGATAAGATTTGCAAGAGTATTATCAGTGATCTATATTTTTTTCTTCACCTAATAGACTAATGTTAGAACCTAACACAGGAGTAAGCTGTGACTCCATTGCACTCTCCATTAAGAAGAAATAAAATTTACCCAGGCCAAGGAGTCCAAGGCAGATACTGAACACTGCTAGATACTTCAGGACTAGGCAGCAGCTGCCTCGAGTCAGCAGATAGCTAATAAAGAGGCAGGCACATCCAGGTTGGTAGACAGGTTTCAGACACAAATAACAGTGGGTAGGAAAGTACAGCTACTGAGATTTCAGGCTTAAAAACAGATTCCAGAGATGAAGAGATGAGAAAATAAAAGGAGAAGAAAACAAGAAAGAAAGCCTAGTAAATGGTATTACAATCTGATCAGAGTGTAGAAGTCACTTGATTTCTGATATATTGGATCAGTCTCAGGTTACATGCCAATTAGGTACAATTAACATTTTAGCCATTTCGTTGCTTCAGATACCCAAATATTTTATTCCATAATCAAATTTTCTTTTTTTATGTTTGTCTTAACATTGTTTGGCCATGTTAAACATGTTATTTATATTGGAGAAATTAAAGACGTCTTATATATTTAAAAATAATTTTGTATAGTACAGCTCTTGTTAGGGCATAAACACATTTGATTGAAGAATTTTCTTTGTTCTTAGATGACACCAAGAGAAAATATACTGCAAAACTATAAAAAAAATTATGGCGCAAGTAAAATAGCAATATTAACTTTTTGCTGTTAGTATGCCAGGGACACTTAAAATTAGTTGTAGATTGACTACCGCAGAAAACAGACTCAGATGGAAATGAATGTGAAGGATGTTTCTTAGGGAGTGGACTTGGGCTCAGCACTTGGGGTGTGGGGAAAGGAAAGAATTAGGGTTGGGCAGAGGAAGAATTGGGGCTGTGATGCATCACAACAGGGATGCAGCTGACTCCAAAAGTAGCCTCACAGAGTTGTTCCTCTTTGGGAGAGGAGCTGGTTGTTTATCCCCAGTACTTGGGTAGGGATTCACTGGAGAAGAGGTAATCTCTTTCAGCGAGGTCATATCCAGCTTGGGGTATATGTCCTTGAGTCTTGAAGGGAATAGGGCAGAGAGATCTGGACACTGCAGTATTCATGACAATTCCTCCATATTTCTGTGGCTGTTTGTCTCATATAATTTCTCAGGGTGGCTCCTTTAGGACTCTGGTGGGACTTTCTCTTTGGAGAACTTGTAAAGTTATAAGGGAAAAAGGTTAGTAGGAGAAATTGCAGCCCCAGCTGCTACTGGGGAGGCAGAGCTCTAGGCTAAACTCTCTGATTCATTCTAGAGCCCTTCACCTTAGTTCTTAAAATGGTAGAAGGATGCTAACTTTGTGGGTAGCCCACAACTTCCTTCCTGTGGGGACCAAGTTCACGTTTACTTTTCTTAGGCTATGCCTATGGCAATTATGGGTTTATGATTAAAATTAGATGATGGAATACTAATGTGTGCCAACCACCTTGGTGTGAAGCTGATTGCTCACTTATCCAATGTGTAATAGCAGCTTACCTCCTGATGACTACTAGGCTGTGTACCTTTTCCAGGATGGCAATTATCCCTATTCTGTTTGTTGTTGTTGTTGTTTTTGGCCCTGGACGCAAGGTGCATAAAACGTTGAAGGGGCAGCTGTATTTTCTATCTGCTGGTGGAAGAGTTCTCTACACTTGTGGTGCCCAGAATCATGGAAATGGGAAGCACGCATTCCAGAAATGCGTTACAGGGGGTGATAGTAACAGGAGCCATTGTGGCTTCCATGCCTTAATTCTGAGATCCATGTATTTTTTCTTTGGGGGATAGTGCATCAAATAATGGTCATTGATTTAGCATGTACATTGCATACTGGAGGATGGGGCCCCATTGTTTATTTCTAATAATGTTTAGAAATTTTACAAATGTTTCTAAACATTATTAGAAATTAATGTCAATGCCACTCAGAGTTTGTGAACACTGCTACATATCGTCTAATGGAAGAACGCTAGGAAAAACTCCCGGGAGCAGAAACGTCTTAAACAGAACTTGCCATTGTGTATCAAAGACTCTGCTAATGATGCAGCCTCCCAGTACAAACAATACATATGACTTGTCCTCAGCTTTTCAATCTGGGTTTGCTCTATAGTAGAATTAGAATTTAAAACACCATGTCGCTAACTCAGTGAAGTTCAATTGTGAGTAGAATTTCTGCTTCTGAATTCTTATAGTTTAAATGATGGCCTGTGTGTTGCAAGCTCCAGAAACAACTTTAAAAATGTGTGGGCAAAAAAATTTTTCTCTAGTAGCTCTTTAAAGAATGCAGTCTCACTAAAGGGAATTAGACTAGGGGATATAGATTTAATTTCATTCACTTTGATTTAAAGCAAAATATGGTAAGAATTTGATAAATTTATGAACCCAAACCAGAATCCTCAACTTAATTTTCATTGTTGTTGCTGCTATACTGATATTTCATGAGAAGGAGACAAAGAGTAGAAACTAGTTCACACTCGAGATTTATGTCCCTCCAAAAATCACCTTCCGGGGATGCATGAATCCTGTACAGATTCAATCCAGTGTTCACATCCCTTATTTACAATCCCTATGCAGAGGTAATGATGTTTCAAATAATGACTCAGAAATATTATACAATGTAAAATGATCAAAGGAAGATTCAGTAATGCTCTGGAGACTTTGCCTATTTAGGAAAGAAAATTTGCCTATGTACTTAGAAAATCACACACACACAACTGAATAGAATGACAAATGTTCCAAATTCACTCAGAGTTAATCTAATAACCAATTTCCAAAGCATTCTACTCACCTGTGGTCTTACTCTGCTTGATTTAACCCATACCTCCCTTGGTGGCATCTATGTCCTCAGTAGTTTAGGCAATATTTTCTCAAAGCTTCATGTCATCAGCAGTGCAAGGTTAGAGGTGTCCTGGTTCACACATGTGTGTGTCTTTCCACACGTCAGACGTCTATTGAAGAAGAACTCATCCTAATTCTCTCAGTTCTTAAGAGAATTTCTAATCACAAAAGCCATGAGCTACATGAAGTTACCAGGGAGACAGTTCTTAGCACTTCCCATCCACTCCCTAGTCAGAGCCATGGGCCACACAGCCTCAATCCATTCCACAAGTCAGTCTATATTGCATACCATACATATTAGTATATTTAACCAATATATAAATATTATAGTTTAAATATTCCACAACAAACAAGGTAGCACTTAACATCAAGAGGAGAAAGAGATAGGAGAAAGGGTAAATAAGCAAGTCCCAGTGGGAGCGAAGAAGACAAAAGGATTCCTGGTCTGGTCCATTGGTCCCAGACGGAGTCTTTGATGTGGAAGAGCCTTTAGAGGTGCATGCCAATTGCTTATCATGGCTGATTGCAAGACTGGGTTAATTAAGACAGCTGTTTGGGGAGGCTGAAGGTCTGCCTTTTTATATATATATGTAGTCACAGAGTCCTCTGATGAGAACCTACAATGGAAGAGTGTGCTTGATATGTTCTTACCTGGTTGGATGCAGTCTTCACATTTTATTTGTTTGTTAAGCAAAATATCCTTGTTGGCAAAATCCCATGTGAAATATAAAACACAGTATTTTTCTAAGATGGAGTTTAATGAAGGGTTGCTCTATACACCCCGATTTCTTAGTTTTGAGGTATTTCTGGATTTACTTCCTCAGGGTTTCCTCTTCTAGTCCTGGGGGACTTTTCAATTTCTGTTGCTACCTGGTTGCCAAATATTACTTCTTTCTAGAATTCATTAAAAAAGTATAATCCAGCAAAAATATAAAGATTTTTGTGGGTTTGGAAAGAAAAGTCGTATCACACAAAAAGTCAATGGAAATCTTCTTGGCCCAGTGTAATTTCCGCCCTTCCTCTTGTGGCCATTCTTCATCCAAAACGTTCTGGGCCTCTGGTGAGATGTCTCTCCCCACCGAGTGCAGTCCCTAGGTCTTAGAAGGGAGTGATTTCCTGAAGCCGATGATAATTTTTAGCTATCTCTTGGTCTCTTCTCCCTGTGTCCTGTTGAATTCTAATGAATAATATTCATATCACATTAAATTTTTATTTCTTATGAAATTGTTCTAAATTGCCATCTTGTCTCCCAGTCCTTGAAGAACAAATAACCCTTGATCTTGCAGATCCAACAATCTTAATTCAGTTCAGCTGCCACATTTGATAGATGAGGAAACTAAAGCTCAGAGAAGGGAAGTGATTTACCAAAAAATACTGGGGCTATTTGGAAGCAGAGCTGAAGCCATAACTCTGGTCTTCCTACTCTTAGGCCAATGCCCCTATCTACTTGTGTCATTTTTTGCTTCATTCCAGATTGGCAAGATTATAATAATGAAAGATGATGGGGTTGCTGATGCACCTTGTATTCTTGTCTATTTTAACTATAAACCTGAGTATATGTTTCCCAGAATAGTTAATCATCTAGTAGAAGAAGATAGTGTGATTTCTTGTCCTGTAAATCATGAAAAAACACCTCCTGTACCTTCTCTTAATGTTTGCCATATTGTTTTTCAGGCTACAAGGAATTGGTCTCAGTGTAATTGTGTATAAATACTGACCGTTGGTCTCTCCTTATTAGTAGATGCTGACTAACATTACAAGGTAATAATTGGTTATACTGTATTAGGAGAATAACAGTTTATAACAATATTACTTGCAATAAACTTCATGGTTTCTTTTCCTATTCAGTGAAGCAATTGTTTGGCTTTATGGCTACACAGACAGCTTTTCTTTCATAGCTAAGTTTATTTTGTCATAATGCAGTCAGGTGGCACAAAAGTATTAACAACTACAGAAAACCAACATCTAGCAAAGAAATTTGAAGATCATGTTCACCCTGAATAAACAAGTGCCTTTAAAAAAATTCTTCCAACTTTTAACGTCGAACAGAAAAGTTGAAAAAGAAGTACCATAAAGACACCTGCGCCCTTTATTTAGATTCACAAATTAACATTTTCTGGGATTGGCTTTGTGTGTCTCTATGTCTCTTTTCCTCTTCACAGACACACTCATTTTCTCTCTTACACACACGTACATATACATGCACACACTCACATTTTGGGGAGCTCTGAACTGCTTGAAAGCAAATTGCAGACATCAAGATTATACAAAAATACTTAAGGGATTTTTTCCAAAATTAGCACACTCTTTTTATATTACTACAATAACAATCACAAGACATTTGCTACTGATAATTAATATTGTGTAGTATACAGTCTAAATGTCTCCACTTGCTTTCAAATATTCTTTATATTAGTCAGGGATCTTATATTGGATTTTTTTGTCATGTTTCTTATTTTCATCAGTCTAGAATACTGCTTCCCCCCCACCCTTTTTCCTCATCTTTTACAACCTTGACATTTTTGAAGAATCCAGACTAATTGTCTCATAGAATGTTTCTCAACCTGGATTCATCTAACTGTTCTTCTGGATTAGACAAAATGTTTAGCCAAATATTATGTTTCCCATCGCATTGCATTGGGAAGTTTATAATGTCACTTTATCTCAATATTTGTGAAGCTAAGCTTCATCTCTTCGATTTAAATTCTGTACTTAATAAACATTTGATGGATAATAGAGTTATATGAATGTCCTTTTCCTAACAATATGTTAGTGTATAGTGTTAGGAGAAATTTCATGCCAGAATCTCATATTACCTTGGTGGTATTTGCAAAATGGTGATTTTAAAATTCAGGCATTTTTCTAGATCAGCGGCCAGTAGATTTTTCCAGTAAGGAGCCACATTCTAAGTCTTTTAGGCTTTGTGGGCCACATATGGTCTCTATTACATATTCTATTTCTTCTTTAGCTGTGTAATAATTATTAGCTCAAGGACTGCAGGAAAATGATCTGCAGCAGGATTTGGGCCATGAGTAGTAGTTTGTCAAAGTCCTGTTCTGTGTTATAAAGAAGAGCTTTCCTTTTCCTTGTAGCACCTGTGTGTGTGTGTGTGTGTGTGTGTGTGTGTGTGTGTGTGTGTGTGTCAGAGGGAGAGAAGGAGATTCTCTAATAACTTTATTTCTTTTATAGAGTTGTCTCTTTAAGCCTTTTGTTTTTTAAATGAATACTCTTTGGGTTTAACTTTGGTAAATAACACTGTCTTAAGATAATTTCAATTTTATTTTCTTCTATGCTTTCTGATACAATAGCCACTAGCTGCATGAGACCATTCAAATTTAAACTAATTATAATAAAATTATAATTGGAAATTAAATAAATTAATAATTAGAAAAAATTTAGTTTCTCAGTCACATGAGCCACATTTAATTGTACAATTATTCACTCAACACACATAGCTAGTGGCTACATATTGAACAGTGCAGATGTAGGACATTTTTATGATTTGGAAGTTGAATTGGATATTAATAAATGCAGATTTCAAATGTGTTTGCACAGAGTTGTGCAAAATAGTCCCTCATAATTAGAGTTAACTTATAATTTTTTTATTGTCTTTTTTTTGCTTTTATGCTTATTTCCCTTCTTACTAATTTGTCTATTTCCTTGTTTTTAAGGTACCAAAGTATTTATTCTATCCACTATTTTTCTGTTTTAATCTCACATTTTCTTTTCCTTATGGTTTCTTTTGATTTAATTTATCAGTTTTTTTTTAAAACTTTTATTTTAGGTTCAGAGGTACCTGTGCAGGTTTATTATGTAAGTGTCACTGGGGATTGTTGTACAGAGTATTTGTCACCTATGTGGTAGGCACTGTACCTCACAGGTAGTTTTTCAGTCCTGACCCTCCTCTTTCCTTCATCCTTAAATAAGTCCCAGTGTCTGTAGTGTCCATGTGTACTCAATATTGAGCTTTTACTCGTGAGAACATGTAGTATGTGGTTTTCTGTTCCTCTGTTAGTTTATGTAAGATAATGGCTTCTACCTTCATCGATGTTGCTGCAAAGGACATGACCTCATTCTGTTGTATGGCTTCATCATATTCCATGGTGTATATGTACCACATTTTCCTTATCAGTCTACCATCGATGGGCATTTAAGTTGGTTGCATGTCTTTGCTATTGGGAATCATGCTGTAATGAGCATACGCGTGCATGTATCTTTTTCTTTTCTCTGTTACCAACCTTCCCTCCCTCCCGCCTCCTCTTCCTTCCTTCCTTCCTTCCTTCCTCTCTTTTCTCTCTCTTCCTTTGTTTTTATCTTTTTCTCTCTCTTCCTGTTTCTCTCTTTCTTTCTTTCTCTTTTATCTTCCTTCCTTCCTGTCTTTCTCTCTCTCTTTCTTTCTCTCTTCCTTTCTTTGTTTCTTTTTCTCTCTTCCTCCCTCCCTCCCTCCTTCTCTCTGCTTCTGTCACCCCGGCTGGAGTGAAGTGGCACCATCTTGCCTCATTGCAAGCTCCACATCCCAGGTTCAAATGATTCTCCTTCCTTAGCCTCCCAAGTAGCTGGGACTACAAGTGCCCACCACCAGATCCAGCTAATTTTTGTATTTTTTATTAGAGGCTCGGTTTCTCCATGTTGCCCAGGTTATCAGGCTGGTCTTGAACTCCTGACGTAAGGCTATCTGCCCACCTTGGCCTCCCAAAGTGCTGGGATTACAGGTGTGAGCCACCGCACCCGGCCCTCACCACTCCCTTTTGTATCCCCCAACTCACACCTTGCCCATGCCACTCATGCATACCCCCTGCCTTTCCCACGGTCATTTGTGAGTCCTGCACTAAATGGCCTTCAGTTCAGAGACCAGACATCAGACAGCAATCTGGAACTCTTCCTTGATGGGAGGTGAGACCTCTAGAAGAGGAAAATGCCTGCTATGGAGCCTGCAGGCTGAACACAGTGACTCTCCAGGCAAACAGCTGGAACTGAACTGAGTAAAATCTCCAGCCAGAAAGAAAACTTTCCAAGCAACTCTTCCCTGACCCCATTTTACAGATGGAAACATTAAGGCTCAGAGGAGAGGAGACAGAGCACTTGAATCTGGGCTGGTCACAAAACCACCTTTGACCAACAGAGTAAAGTGGAGGTAAAGCTATGCTGGCCAGAGCCTCAAGAGAAAATGTGGCTTTTGGCCTATTGCTTAGAACCCTCCCAAGC